GGGCTGCCTTTCGGTGGCCTCCGGTCCCCGGGCTCCCGGCCCTGCGCAGGACTTTCCAGCTTGATCTGTCTTGTGGAAAGATGCAGAATCCGGCCATGGTGGGAGGAAAAACGCCCTGGAGGTTTTACAGGAACTGGGTGAAGAAAATCCCTGGTTGAGAGCATCATAGTTCAGATCTTAGTGGGCGATACAGCAGGAGGGAGCGTGTGACGCTTGCCGGGCTGTGCTGCAAGGGAATGGAGGAGGAGGAGGAGGCGGCTTGTAGGCAGGGGCAAAGAGCTGTCTCTCACCCATCCATAACCACCTCTTCCCTTGCAGGGTGGGTTTGCACGATGCTATGAAATGACAGACCTCTCCAGCAACAAAACCTATGCCGTGAAGGTCATTCCTCACAGCCGGGTGGCTAAACCCCACCAGCGGGAGAAGGCGAGTGCTGTGGGTCTGGTGGGGTGCTGGGCTGGTGGGGTGCACCAGGGGCCCTGTGTTTACTCAGGATCGCTGCTCCCTTTCAGATCACCAATGAGATCGAGCTGCACCGGGACTTGCACCACAAACACATCGTCAAGTTCTCCCACTACTTCGAGGATGCAGAGAGCATATACATCTTCCTGGAGCACTGCAGTAGGAAGGTGAGTGCTGGTATGGCCTCCTTGCCAAAGGATCTCCTAAACAGAGTTGTGGGTGGTTGGAGCAGGCCTTATCTGAGGTGCTTTGTTAGCATATGCCTTCTCCTGGGCTGCCTTGCTGCCTGCTCTTGTCACACCCTCCGAGCTCAGCCATAACCCGTGTGGTTTCGCATGGCACTGGGGACACCGCTGGTTACCTGTCCTACTCGGGCTGCCTGCTCATGTTGGGGCCTGGTGGGGCCACCATAAATCCAGTGGTTCCCCTGCCTGTGCTGAGCCACCTCAGCCTTGTGTGGGGAGTCTGCTGAGGTCATGGCTGTGGAAGAAGGATTATTTATGGATGTGCAACTTCTGGAAGAACTGGCTTTGACCCTGCCTGCCCCTTGCCTAGTCAGCAGGGCTGCCTGTTCTCCTTGCCTGCCATCACCAAACTGCCTTCTCTCCCTCTGCAGTCCCTGGCCCATATCTGGAAGGCTCGCCATACTCTGCTGGAGCCCGAAGTGCGCTATTACCTCAAACAGATCATCTCAGGCTTGAAATACCTTCACCTCAAGGGCATCCTGCACAGAGACCTCAAACTTGGTGAGTGCTGCGGTCGGGGCAGGGTGCTGTGTGTGGAGCGAGCTGCCCCAGAGGGACTTGTGGTGACGCATCACCCTTGACTTGCAGGCAACTTCTTCATCAATGAAAACATGGAGCTGAAAGTGGGGGACTTTGGTCTAGCTGCTTGCCAGGATACCTCTGACCAAAAGAAAAAGTAAGTCTGGGATTTCCCTATTCCAGGACCCTCTGAGGTTTTACTCTTCCTCCTGCAGCTTCCCGGGAGGGTGGAGGGGTGAGTGGTCCCTCCTGGCCTGGGGAGGGGAAGCCTTAGGGCCCCTTCCTGGGGTGTGTGGGGGGTGTGATTCCTGCCCCAGCTGCAGGCAAGGCAAGGGGGCTGGGGACTTTGTGACTCCTTCAGGAGTGAGCTCGCAGCCGTCGGGGAGAACAATGTGCTGACTATCGCTATTGTGCCTGCCTGGCTGCCCCGCCGGCTGCGCAGTGCTGGGACACAAAGACTCTGTTCCTCCCTGGTTCTAGGACAAGCTCTTCCCAACGGCTCCCCAGGAGCAGCTGCTCCTGACCCTGGGAGCTGGGGGCGGGGGGTGGTGGTGAGTCTGTACGGGGCTTCTTGTAGATGGAGGGGGCTTTGGGCCACAAAGAACAAAAGGGGAGGGGGGAGGACAGGCTGCAAGCT